TCTTTTCTTTTCTTTTCTTTTCTTTTCTTTTCTTTTCTTTTCTTTTCCTCTCTTCCTTTCACTATATTTTTTCTTTTGATATTTTTAATAAGGTATTTATTAAAAAGGCCTCACGACCATTTTGTGGTTTTATGAACTATTCAGATTCATCTGACAGAAAGCAGGACGTTCCGGTTTTGCACAGTTTCCTACCATGAAAAATAGGAAACCCTGCAAAGCTTTTATTTTCATCATCTGTTTTATTAACATATTATTTTTTTCTTTGTACTCGATAAGGATTGTACTTATTACAAAACAAACTCCTCAACTTTTCAATACATACATCGGTCATTACTGTATGATACAAATGTGGTATCGCTTGCAACATTTCAGTCGTTTGGGACTGATGAAAGAGAAAACCCAATATTTGTTATTATTTTTATTTGTTCATTCCTGACTCTCCAAAAAATGATACCCGGTAATACTTTTCTATAAAATAATATTTTTACAAATGCATTTATTAAAAATTCTGATGACATTTCAAGTCAATAACAACAGAAACAAGGTAATTTCCGGTGGATGAGATCTATGTTTTTTTAAAAATACCTTTAGTGCTTATTTTTTAACATCAACAGTTGTTTAAAATCACAGCTTTTTTTGAACGTATTATTCTCTTCTGAACATCACGTGTCTTGATTCACAGATTTACCGGCAAAATTAAAAAAGATTTGGCTAAAATATGTCTACAGAAGAAATAATCCCAGCTATTAAGTAACTTTTTACATTTGGCATCTGATCTAGTCACAGGTCATCAGAAAATAGAAAGAGGTTCTTTGATCACTTGAAGCAGTAGGTGGCATCCTATACGTTCCTAATGAACAATTGCATTCACAACATAAGGAGAGATCAGTTTAGGATTTTCATATTTATTAACCCAAAACAAAAATAAAGTATCTTGTTACATAATTAAGTGCAATTAGGCCAGTCAGAATAACATATAAACCTGAAACCACCCAAGCTTTTCTTCTTTATACATATTTTGTAGGTGCATAATCCTTTCCAGCACACTGAAAAGAAATACTTCAGAAGTCCTTCTTAAAATTTTACTTTGATTTATATTCTGCAGTTATAGAATAAATTTCAAGAAACACACGCAGCTAATATATAGTTAATTTTATTCGGAGCACCGATTTTCACATAAGAGCTATCTCAAAGTAATGATTTCTGGATTTAAGCAGAAAAATACATCTCTCACTATTTTCTTTTTGGTAGAATTAGTCTTATCATCTAACGGCCATACCTTGAATTTACCAGCCGTGTCTCGGAAATATTTTTTTTTAAATGCACCCAATAATAATAGTAACTATTCTGTTTTCACGTTTGTTTTATTTGTAAGTATGCTGGGACACATCTCCCTGTTGTATTTTGGCATACAGAAATATTTCTGATAGAAATAAAAGTAATAGAGTAAAGACACAACCAAGGAGAAAGCTCAGCAAACATACATGGACAGGTAGATTATTCAGTGAGACATTTTAGGATCCACACGTGGTTGCAGTTTGTAACCCTTTTATGTTGTTTTGTGCATTAAAGAAAATATTTACAATCGTCTTTCTTATCTTTTTTTTTCCCGTTTTTTCTTCCTTTTTTTTTCTTTCCTCTTTTAATTCTAAATACAAGAACGTGACAAGAACGTTTGTGTTTTCGGTGAAAACAGGCAGTTAAACTGTGAAATTACACCATCCACAAAAGATTCTACCAGAAGCTAGTCTATTTAGTGCTCAGTTTCAAAATGCATAGAATGTTTGCGCTGCAAACAATGATACACGAAATAATAATAATAATATTAATAATAAAATAAATAGATAAATAAATAAATAATATAGAGACTTTAACACGGATCTTTCTATGCCTTTTTTTCCTTTTTTTCTTTTCCTTTTTTCTTTCCTTTTTTTTTTTTTTTTTTTTTATTTTTAGGTCATGTCATGCATAATTTCAGTCTATTGTTTGTTTTGATTTAAACGGAATGGTATTTTCTTTGCAGAAATTCCTTGTTACTTGAAAGCCTTAGTAGTCTCTCTGCAAAAGCCAGAAGCAGCGATGGCTTCTGCACGTCGCTGCTCTTTTTACCTAACAAGCCCTGATACTTTTTTTGTTTGTTTTCAATTCGCGAGATATGTAACGCACTTTGATAGTTATTAGTACTACCAGCATCGTTTTTATGGTATAACATCATCGCTTCCAATCCAGGAGACTGTGATAGTGCAAATTGAACCCCACACACCCCTCCCAAAAGCCATCCTCTACATAACGTTTATTATTTACAATAAAAATTTTTAAGCCCAAATTTTTTTTGTTGCGTATTTGTTCCCAACATGCAGACCCCTCAGAAACAAATGTTATTTCAAACCCATTTCAAACTGCTGATTTCCTTTGCCTACCGGGTGCAATAACCCTCAGCCCTCGGAAAAGACAAGGCAGGACCTTACCCTAAATCCTGCATATTTGGTAGGGATGCCGGGGGGCATAGGGTTGGGAGCAGCGGGTAGGGAGGGAGAGGAGAGGACATACTTAACCACGAGCATTAATGAGTCTGAACATAATCTTTTGCAGAGCATCCCCGCTCTGGCAGGTTTGGCATCTGCCTCCAGATGCATCTCTGCAGAAAGAGGGACCTGTCTTTGGACACAGCTGGAAACGCAAACCACGCAGGCGAGGGAGGAGGAACAAAGGGGCTGTGGAGTAACTTTTTTTTTTCTTGTTTTCTTTGAGCTAGCTAGGATTATTGAGGCAACAACGGAAAGAGACTGCTCCCGAGCTTTGGGAGGACCGGTTATCCCGTCGGGCTGCGGCGGTTCCCCCGGCTCCGACCCCTGTCCCATTCGCACCGCTCCCCCGCCGCAGACAAGACCCATCGCCAAAGCCTCGCGTAAAACCGCGTTGAGGAAAAACAAACAAACAAACAAACAAAAAACCCCAGAAAAAAATACCAAAGCAAACAAACAAAAAAAACCCCAAATCCAAGACAACCAAAGAAAAAGTTCCCCACACTAAACCACCGCCGACCTCATTCATTATCAAGCCAAGGAAAAGAAAGAAAAGCATAAAGTAATGAAAAGAGACCCAAACCAAACGTAGCATCATCATCACCGACAGTTTCGCCTTCCGGGTTTGTTGGTCGGTTTTGTTTTCCTTCGGAAAGTTGTGACTTAGGTTTCTCGGTTTGTGGTTGTTGCTGTCACGGTATTTATTGGTGTGTGTCTGTGTGTGTTTACGCTTTAAGTTGCGCTTTCTCCCGCTTTCTGTCAGGGGGTGGGGGGTAGAGGGGGAATGGGCCCGCAGAAGTGACCCCCGTGGGTTTCCAGAGCGTTTTTACCTCCTCTCTCCTCTTTCTTCTCGTTGATGTCCCGGTGTCTTTTTTGTTTTAATAATTGATAGCGCACCCCCCTCACACACGCACACACACACCCCCTCTCCCCGACTAGTTCGCCTTTAGTTTCTACATCGTCCCGTGGTCCCCAGGAGCCTCCCACGGCGTCTCAGGCGACGGTGGCGGTGCGTGGGCGTCCCCCGCGGCCCCGGCCCGGCCCCCCCCC